CCTCCACCCGAGAGGGGAATTTATTGCTGGTTTTAGTATAGCGATCATGCCCATTCTAAGTAATTCCTATATCCACACACACACAGAGATATATATGCATAACTGAGGACAGATAGGACTGTGGGCGTTGATGAATGACTGATGTCATTGCATTTACAAATGTGACATTTGAGAGACAAAGTGTTTCAGCCTTGAATCAAAGCATTTTGATTAAGGCAGGGGCCGTATTTTTGGCCTATAAGTCGCAGTTTGTTGCATAATTTACATGCCCTGCTACTTATACATGAAGTGACTTATTCATGGATTTTTTTCCCATATTTATGAACCAAATTTTGGCTGAGATATGACTGTTTTCATTCATTCGGACTGAAAATATTGAACGCTACCATTTTCAGCCCCTATATGCCACTCGAGAGTATGGCATGCCGTTGTGTCATGTAATAGGTAAAAGTGGCTATTAATGACACAATCGGCTTGCCGTAGTCTTCCACCTTGTCCAGCTAGCTTGGCGTAACCATCAAATTAGTTTCATTTTGCTGTGCCACCCTGGCAAAATGCAGCTGATTTGACCGTCAAAGTGCACTTATTAAGTAAAAGTTCAAATGAGACACACTTTTGTCATAATTTCGTTCAAGCAAATAAATGGTTTTAGGTGGTTATCTTGTTAAATTTCAAAGAAATGCACAGCGACTCGTCCCTCTGCACGCTCGTACTTCCGCATATCGGCTTTTGAAATGCAGCTGATTTGACCGTCAAAGTGCATTTATTAAGCAAAAGTAACACTGCTGAGCCATAATTTTGAGCAAATAAATAATTGTTTTTAAGTGTTAATCTTGTTAAATTCTTGTTAAGGTCCTCCCGTGAATGCTCCCTTGGCTGCCATTTGGTCACCAGTCGATTTTTGGCACAACACCAGCCCACATTTCCGTGTTGTCAGGAGTGACATGTAACAAACGCAATGCGTCAGCGGTGATGCATAATAGATGCGACTTATTTGGCAAAGCGACATATTTATGGATTTTTCCACTTTATTAGACAAATTTGGACTGATGCGACATATAAGGTGATGCGACATGTACGGCAGAAAATACGGTATTAACGTGGCGCTGCTTCATACCATACCATACCATACCATTTTATTTATACTTAAAACAGCGACAAGGCCAACTAAAGTGCTGTACAGACAGAACAACCGACAACAAAGCAATATACAAAATGAAGTAAATCAGAATCTAGACATAAAAACGATGCAGATAATAAACATGACGGCAAACCAGTGTGGGGCGTACCGGTTCAAAACACAGATCCTTTGGTGTTGAAAGCTACTGAATAGTAGTGAGTTTTTAAACAGGATTTGAAAACAGAGAGGGAGGGGGCCAGTCTGACAAGCAGAGGTAACTCGTTCCAAAGTCTTGGTCCTGCTACAGAGAAGGCCCTGTCACCTCTGCACTTAGGACGAGTTCCTGGAACTGTGAGGAGCAATTGGTCCGCTGACCTCAGGGAATGTGGAGGGACATACGGTTGTAGCAAATCAGAGAGATGGGGTGGCGACACTGTTCAGCGATTTGTAGACATACAAGAGTATTTTGAACTGGATTCGAAGGTGAACCGGTAACCAGTGCAGTGAGGCCAAAACTGGTGTAATGTACTTTCTTTTGCCTGTACTGGTTAAAAATCGGGCTGCAGCATTCTGGACCAGTTGTAGTCATGCAATGGAGGTTTGACTGATAGCAAACAGAAGTGAATTGCAGTAATCCAGCCTAGATGTAATGAATGCATGTATTACTGTCTCCAGGTTATTTTTGGACAATATGGGCTTCAGTTTAGACAGCCGCCTCAGTTGGAAGAAACATGATTTAACAATCATGTTTACGTGATTGTTAAGTTTCAGGGAAGGGTCCATTATCACTCCCAGATTAGTGACTCTTTGTTTTTTTGACAGGGATAGTGCAGCTTCATGTACATATAAGAAGGTACACAGCTGTAAGAATTTGGCATTTCTGCTTGTATTCTGTGTACTTACTGTATGACAAGTGCTAATGTTTGAGTCGGCACTAAATTCTTTAGATCTCATCTCCTATCTGTCTAACTTAGATTGTCTGATATTGACTCTTGATTCTGCATAGTTGCAATCAAAGAGATTTAACATTTTAAATTGTGCTGAGCTTCTATCTGCTACTAATGGGTTCTGTATAATGTGGCACTTAAAATGCATGAGCAGTCTCTGATTTATCTGTAATTTGCCTCCACTGGAGCATATCTTCCTCAATACCTTCATTTGTTTTGTTTTTTTAGCTTGCTAGGGAACACTTGTTCTCCAGTAAGAAAAGATGTAGAGATGTTTTATTGTTACATGTTTGACAACTCGACTCCATCAACCACAAAAAAACTGACTCAAATGCATCAAAAGACAATGCCATCGGGCAAAACACGAGGATAGTTTGAAGTAATGAGTTGGACTTTTCTGCCATTTTGTTTTAATTCTAACTTTTTTGGTTGTTCAGTTAAAACCTCACCTTAGAAACACCAAATAATTTCACTAAACCACTAGTTTTTTTTCCCCATCTTTTGATTTTTGGGGGCCCATATAGCTTTGAGTTTTTAGTGCAGAAACCAGCTTGATGATTCCAAAGTTGTCTTGAGTTTTCCATTGGCAGCAGAGTTGTTCTAACAGGCTCAGCAGGTTACCAGCCAGTGGACCTCAGTCACAGACCATTAAAAAAGGTCGATAATCCCAAACAGATCAATGTTTACATGTTTCATTCTACTGCAGATACATTGCTCTGGTAACAAATACTGAGCTCTCACAGGATATTTCATTTTGTTTTACTATAGCATGTTTCTCTATAGCTCTATTGTTTCTGCCAGTTTATAAAAAATCTGCATTTTTTACAAGTCTCCTAATTTTACCTTATGATATTCCAAAAGAATCCCGATGTTGCTGTCTTAGGCAATACTATACACTTTATAACAGCATTAAATGATATGAATATGTGTAATTGATATTTAATTTGAACACAATAAATCAATTCAAAAATTGAAGTGTTTTTGAAAAGTGCAAATATATTTGAGCTTAACCTTGATGGAGAACAAGAAATTGCAGCCAATTTAGGACAACCAACCCAATAGTTGTCAAAAATTAATTTCTTTGAAAGCTCTCAAAAAAACCTTTTGTCAAATTAGATAATCATGTAACAAGAAGTCTCATTTTTTACTCTTTTGTGTAGAATTACAGGCCGACTAAACTTTTTGCCATATGAATGAGATGCGGCAAATGCTAGACACAATTTACCATCAACACAAGATTCAGGATTTTATTTATTTAGTTATTTGTTTATTTATTTACATACATACATACAGTATTTTTTCTTGTAACAAATTCTCTTTGAACCTGGCCTCGGTTCAATCTGGTCAGAATGAAACTTTCTCCAAACTTAAAATCATTTAAAGCACCATCTACAACAGGTAAGATATTATTTGTTAATATTAATATATGTGCATCCAGGTCCTCAACCATCCATGTCATGAAATGGACCGTTTTCAACTAACAAAACAGAAGTTGTTTTGTTTTCAAACTGTTAATTCTCTTTCACAGAACCTCGCTCAAAAGGTCAGTACTGCTCCTTTAAGGAAAGGTGCCAACATCACATCCTTCCACTGACCATCCACCCTGCTCCTAATGTCTCCTCTCTGCTTACCTTAGCATAAGTCCAAGCATAAAAGAGGGACAGTGTCATTGACTCTTGCTGTAGTGAATTCATAATGAACTGCTCCGCTGGTGCAAAGTGAAACAGCTCTGTCTAATTAACTGTGCAGACGTGTTGGCTTGCCTTCAGTCTGTTTAGTGACCAGTGAATAAGCATGGCAGTGTAAATTCAGGTGCCAGCACACTCATCATGTACAAACACAGTGAGAAATGACTGCAGCGAACACGCTATTAACTAATACCAACACAAAGCGAGGCGGACAGACAAAAAGGGTGACTTGTCAACTCAGCTGGCATTTTGCTCAGCAGGGGAGTCATGTTGGCTGTCCAACTGCTAGTCCTCTCAGACAGGAGTGTGTCCACTGGGATCCCAGAGGACCTCCCAGTAGTCACAAAACCTGACAGGGGGATGTGAAACTCTGCAGGGACCCCATTTACACCAGTCGTTCTGCAGTGACCACCAGAGGACAAGCTTCGCCACACCTCACACTTTATTGGAAGTGGGACTCACGTTAGCTGTCACTGCTTGAAATTTCAACTCTTATATGCACATATGGTAGGAATGACCACAGTTCATGTTCCTTCTGTAAAATTTGTTTTATGAAGTGACTGAAGACAAGTTACATGATGATAAGTAAACTGTGGTAACACTGCCACCCTCAGGGGCATTAAAGCAGATTTGATGCCGTTTGGACAAAATACATCACAGGAATTCAGGAAGGAATTTTTTATTGCACGTGGCCAAAAATGAAAAGGAGATAGTGTTTTTGTCAGTGTATATGTCATGTTAGCAAAATATCTAATGAACCACTAGACTGATTTTACTGAAACTTTCAGAAATTAATCATTGGGTATTTGCCTAAAACTCTCTTTTGGAGTCAGCCCAATGAAGATGGCCACCATTTTAGCCAACACAAAAATGTCTCAAACTCAGTGAATTTTATAACTTTTGAGCTTAATTTTGACGAGGTAGTAGCTGAGAATCATCCTCAACACATACTTTGAGACCTTGAAAATTGTGTGAGGTCTTACACTATTGCATGCGATCGCACATAAAGTCATTTACCAGGTTTGAGCAGAACAGCTAAAACTGTCCCTTCTCACCATACATTTAATATAAAAGACATCAGGTGATATGCATTCCTTCACAAAATACTAGGTCTTTATTACACTTGCTTGAAGCCTAAATTACCATATCAGCCAGGATGATTTATTAATAATTCAGACCAGTCAAGTAGCATTATCAACATGTCCATGGTACAGAGGAATCAGTCAGTGTTATCTCAGATCCCATGAAAAATATATAAAAAAAGGATTTTTAGGGTTCAGCATTCTTCCTGTAATATGACAAAGTTTTTACGTCGACCCAGATGAGCAGCTGGACATCTCCTCTTGACACGTCGATATGTGATCAAGTAAAGCTGCACTCCTGGATTTTTGTATTGCCAAGCCCTTGATCTTTTGCACTGGATCTCTACAGTATGAGCTGGAAAAACAAAACAAGAACAAAGTTTTACAGTGCATGGAAATCAGATATATTTATTATAATCCATTTTGAGAAAACCCAGTAGGGACTATTTCCCAACATAAGGTTAGATGCAGGGTTTTTGAAATAGTGGATTTTTTCAGTTCTGATCTGCACTTCCCTAACAAGTTTGGGTAAAGCACAGAATGACAGTACCTATCTGAGTCAGAGTCGCAGGACGTGCTAGTGTCCTTCTGTATGTCCTCTTCTGAGTGGAATCTCCTCAGACCGCTGCGCTGGACCGCCTGGGCCACAGAGAAGTTGGTCCTTCCCGCAGCACAGGCCTCTATCTTGGCCACGCTGAGCTGAGACTGCAGGAAGAGGTGCAAGCAGCTGTCGGACAGCAGCAGAGGGTTCTGAAGGATTCTGGGAAGAGAATCACGTGTTAAGGGTTGCTGTGGGTAGCATTTTTTTTTACTGCCATTGGAAGTGAAAACAACAGTCATGTGATGTGGAGTTCTTGGAAACAGCAGCTGAATGATATTTGCGATATATCAAAGTTCATATTTTCTTACTCTTCTAAAAACCTCTGGAGTCCCTTCATGCGATCTATGATCTGACTTGCATTGTTCAGGCTGAAGAAAGGATTTTTTGGAGGCAGATCTGGCAGATTTACCCTACAAAGGAAAATTATAGGCACGATTTAGCAAGGGGGAGTTTCAAAAACAACCAAATATTTGTTATTAAGAGTTGCCTACATTAGCAGTGCATTTGCCATCAGTTTCTGCCTGAGCCACACAAACTCACTGTACCTCCTCCTCACCCCTGAGGTCTTCTTGGTAAAGCAAACGCTGTTGGTCTGTAACAGGAGGTGCGGGTGTCACGCAAACATCACAAATACAGAAATTTAATTTACGCTCTTTGCCATTATACTCACTTGTAAGCAAATCTCATAGTCCATGTAGGCATGCCAGAAGTCGTTCTTCTGTATCCGCGGGTCTCGAACCCAAACACTGACAGCCTGCTGCATGGTGACGGCAGGAGAGACACTGAACTAAAGTGTTGAAACACAAAAAGGAAGGCTTTTATGGGCAGATTGAGGAAGTGTAATGACAAACACACACAAGCCAGCAGTGGAAAATCCAATGTGGCTATATTTTAAGCCCATATAAAAGTAAACATGTTTTTAGGACAAAATCAGGGGGATTTTTAGGGTCTTTTAAAAAAAACAAAAACATTAAGTTCAGATTTACCCGAGTTGCAGTTCTGCTTGTTCCTTCTTTCATTGTCCAAAATGTCCAAATATCTGAAAGTCAGCAACCTCTAACTATAGACAGATTGTGTTGTGTTCAGCTTTTTGCCTCTTCTTTTCACTTACACAGCCAAGGAGCAAAGGTTTCCAAACAAAGTCACAAGACCAAGCTAAGCCCTTCCCCAGTTAGTAAATGTCAAACAAATACTACAAAACACCACGTTTTATCTGGAATCAATCCCAACATCTGAGGCTTCAACATTTATTATCTACAGCTGAATTAGACAGGTGGGAGACCATGTTTGTCAGATTAGAAAAATGTCTCAGCAACTACTGATCACTAGCAGAAAATAAGCATTAGATAAATAATTAACTGCTAGAGTCAACGCCGTTCAAGATGGCTACCTCACCTAACACAGAAATGGCTATAACTCTGTCAGTTTTGCAAATATTCAGCTCAAATTTGTTTTGGTAGTAGATGAGAGCCATTCCCAACTCAAACTCTGATCCTAACAGATTGAACAAGATCAATGTTTAAAACTTTGCCTTTAGCCATTAGACTACAAAGCTCTCAACAACCTAGCCCCAACTTATATTCAAGATCTTATTGTTCCATATTTTCCCAACAGAGCACTTCGCTCTCGGACTGCAGGCTTACTCGCGGTCCCTAGAGTTTCCAAGAGCAGAATGGGAGGAAGATCTTTTATTTATCAGGCTCCTCTCTTGTGGAACCAACTTCCAGTTTCTGTCCATAAGGCTGACTCATTGTCCAGTTTGAAGACTGGGCTTAAGACTTTCCTTTTTGATAACTCCTATAGTTAGGGTTGGCTTGTTATGCTGCTATAAGATTAGACTACTGGAGGACAAATTGGCCTCATTTCCTTAAATGAATTGTTAAAATTGAATCGTTTTCATTTGATACCATTTCTGTCTTAACATGTGATTCTTGACCTGCCATTGTGTATCTGTTCCTCTCAAACCCAACCAGTCGAAGCAGATGGACGCTTGTCCTGAGCCTGGTTCTGCTAAAGGTTTCTTCCTCATGAGGGAGTTTTTCCTTTCCACTGTCACCTTCATGCTTGCTCAAGACGAGTTCTGCGATGGTTTTAAATTCAAAGCAGTCTACTCCTCTGATAAATAATGTTAAATTATTATTTTATATGAATGTTTCTGTTCAGTGCTCTGAGACAACTTCTGTGACTTGGCGCTATATAAATAAACTGAACTGAGACTACACTGCGTCTGTTAGCAAAAAACTCATGAACCACTAGATGAACATCGATGAAATGTTCACAAATTAATCAATACACATACATCTTCAAAAAAGTTAAGTTTTTGGATCAAGCCAATTCAAGGTGTCTATCAATTCCAATTTATGTTTTAAAACACACAAATGGCTACGACTTAAGTCAGTTTTACAGATACTGAGCTAAAATTCATTGATAGTAGCTGAGTTTCCCCAACACATTCTCGGAGCACTAACAAATTGTGTGAGAGCTTTGCAAGATTTGTTTAACTCAACCCTGTTTGTTTCCAAAATATCAGTTCATCTGTAACTAATTATCTTTTGGAGACTACCCAATTCAAGATGGCCGCCCCTGCTTATTGATTGTAGTCTACACAAAAGTGGTTATAACATAGCTTATTTTAGATATTAGGCTAGAATAGAGTAGTGATAGTCAAGTCATTACCAACTCATACTCAAGAGAGCTAAATGATTGTACAAGATCTTGCTTTATCGTTTTAAGACTGCACAAAGTGTTATTTTCAAGATTGGACCCAAACGGATGTAACTATTATTTCTCAACGTAAAGGGACTTTAGTTTGAAACAGTGGCATGGATGGAGGCGGGCAACAAATAGTCATTTAAGGAATGTCCTAAATTTTAAATAGGCTTTTATAAAAGTTCCAAAATTGGCAACAAAAACCTCACGTTTTGTTTTTTAATTCACATACTTTCACAGATCCATGGTCAACAGTTACAGTAGCTCAGTACAAATATGTTTAAAGAGGTTCAACCTTCAGCTGGGTGTCCAATAACAGACATGTGATATGTTTAACCCCACATCAGTGACATCAAAATACAATTAAATACACAAAACTGGATCATTACAATCAACGACAATGGCCCAGTCTTATAACTACAGTGCTACATTTAACAAATATCCTCCTCGTTACACGAGCACACAGTTTAATGTTCAATGGATGCAAAATTCTCCATTAGACTTAAAAAAAAAAAATAGTTTGAACAGTTCGACCAGGACTCACTGTGGGTTAAAGCACCAAATATTTGAGTAGTTACAAACATAATAGAGAAGATAGAGGCAGTTGAATTATATTCGATTTTCCCTCCATTTCAAATCAATCACAAGGTTCATACAAACACACAATAAAGGTGAACTGACACCACACGGTTATATTTCAAACAGGATCAACAACCTTTAGCACTAAAGGTACAGAATGACCAGCTTGCTTCACTAAAATGAAACAAAGAACAAACTAAACATCCCTCACAGGATACTCGTTGCGAAAAAGGATTAAAAAACTAAATTACTATAAACATGTCCACAGTGATCGAGTCTGCTACATAATGACAAGATAAAAGCTGCAACAGGTCAAGTCAGCTGCTCTGTACACAAGTTGTTTTTATTTTGCTCTGTTGACCTTCCTGAGCACCACAGGGCTGAGAGCGCTTTAATTCCTTCCCGTTGAGGATCTTGCACCTGCCAGAGTTTGAAACTCTGCCTGGAGCGGGGCATGACTTCACGCCATGTCAGCTGATGGAGGTTAAACTAAGCTTTAGGTGGAAGCACTGCTGCTTACATGTCCTTCACATCACATCCCACTTTGTTATTGTTTGTGGGGCTTTTTTTTTTACTGCTCCTCATCTCCATCGTGCCAACTCAGCTTCTGCTCGTAGAAGTCAATGACCACCTGGGGACACCTGGCGCTCGCTTCACGGGCCGGCAGCAGGACGACGTCATCAGAGTTCTTCCTGAGGGGGGAGAGAAGGAAAACGCTGAGAGGGCCTCACATTTTCAACAGCAGCACACACTTCTGACAGCTTAGACCTCAGTTACTTCTAATACCGCTGAGTCGACAATATACATTATAAAAGAAACTGCACAGTCTGTGAGAACGCTGAGTGAATCTGTTTACATTTGCTTCAGAAGCTGAAACTGAGTTAAAAGCTAAAAGAAGCAGGACAGTAGCTAAAATGTAAAGAGAAGAACAGGTTAAAACTCTAGCCAAAAGGAGCAAAATGCTACCTAAAAGCTAAATGTAGTAAAAGATTTGCTAAAAGTGAAAAGAAGCTAAATGCTATCTAGAAGCTAAAAGTAGCATCAAAGCCGGAAGGTTAGCTAAAATTTGAAAATAGCAAAAGGCTAACTAAAAGTAGCAAAGGACTAGGTAAACAATAAAGTAGCAAAAAGCTCGACAAACGTTAAAAATAACAAAAGATGAATAGTTGTAATAAAATGTTAGCTAGAAGCTAAAAGCTTAAAAAAATTATTTCTGTGTGTGTGTGTGTGAGAGAGTGAGGGGAATGCAAATGAAAATAAATATTTAAAAACGTATATCTTAGATCCTTGTAGACCATTTATTTTTTTAATAGTTTATATTGTTGCTATTTTTGGGGACCTTGAGTACATAATTTCATTCCACCTCGTGTACCACGTGTGATGCGAATGACAATAAAGAACCTTGAAAAAAATAAAAAGGTTGCACAAACAATAGTCTCAGCACCCATCTCCTGAAAGAGCTGAACGTTTTCAAAGATGAACGGCTAAAATAGCAGCAAGTATTCAGAAGCATAAGACTGCAAACATCCAGGAATTAACAGGGAAACGTTTAACGGATTTAATTTTAGTAAAAATTTAGCCAGTTTCAGCATGTTTGTTCAGGGCTGACAAAAATTAATATTGTTGATTTTTTTAAATTATTTCTGTTGTGAACATGCAGGGCAAATTACGTCACCTTCCAAAGTCCACACATTTGTTGCACTACTAAAAATAGGTTTACTATCAAAAGAGCAGCAGAGCTCGTGAACGATGACCTTTATGAGTGATCTGTCTGACCACTACAAGGTTTGTGACAGAGCAGCCTGACTTCTGTTGGACAATAAAATAACTCTTTGGTTTTAGAACCAATCAGTGACGTTCTGTGGCATTTCAAGTTTGACTGGAATTTTTAATTTATTTACAATTACTTGACAACTATCTAAAAGTGTTTTGACATATTCTGCATGTTTATTTGAATTATTATGATCACAGTATAAGTCTAAATGATGATGTGAAAAAACTGAAGTGAGGCCTTTAATTTGAAAAAGCTCGGATTGAAATTTGTGAATCTTTTTGCACTTATTCACGTTTTCTGTATGACAGCTGTTTTTAAGGGGTGTAAATAAATACAATTGAGATAAGAACTGATGCCGTTCCCTTCATACAGAAACACACATTTTATCAGCCTACAAACTAATTCACATTAGGAAGTTGAGGTTTGACAGCAAACTTTATTTATTTATTTAATTTTTGCTACTTCAAAGTGCCTTTGTTAACTTCCTTCTTTTTTGTTCAAACTAAGTTTAAGAAAAAAAATCTTGATCGAGTCATTTGTCCAAAAACAAAACTGAAATCGTCTTGAATCCTGAGCAACAACTCTGACTTGTAACCCATGTTTTGTTTAATTTAGCTCAACTCTTTGACCGACCAGATAAACCACAGACACATCAATTAAAACTACAACTGATTACGGTAGTTTTATTTTTTACTCAACCCAATTCAAGATGGCTGCCACATCTGCTCAACCTTAGCCACAAACATGGCTACACTAGAGATGCACCGATCCGATACAAATATCGGTACCGATATCAAGAAAAAAAACAACTTCTGGATCAGGTATGGGTGACAGTGTAACCGATCTAAGACTGGGCAGATCTATTCTCTCTAATTCTATGCTTTGTGCTCTGAGTGACGTCGCGCGCTAGCGTACTGACTGAACAAATTAAAGCTGTGTTGTTTTTGGATGTTTGACTAAGCTTGTAAAGCTCTTGGTGTGTTTAAGTGTGCTGTTATGGTGCAGTTTTCAATAAATTAGTAATTCAGTACATTCATGTCTGCATAAAAAACAAACAAATGTTTTAAGTTAATTCAGCACTGGGTTTGTAAGCTCAAACATCCAGGTAGACAACAAAAATGGCTAAATCATGTCATCTGGACCTGTTTCAGAAATGGGTCCAGATGACAAGATTTAGTCATTTTTGTTAATTCAGCACTGTTTTTCTGTACCAGAGTGGTATCGAATTGATATCGACCGACAACAAACAGTGTGTATCGGATCGGAAGTGAAAAAAGTGGATCGTGCATTCCAAGGCTACACCTCAGTGATTCTATAGTGACCAAGCTAAAATTTGGTACAGTCGTAGCTGCGAGTAATTCACAACCCACACTATGACCGCTAACAGACGACGTGAGATACCACAATAGCTCATGAGATTTCACATATTTTTTTAAAGGTTTAACCAAATTGGCTGTAAGTTTGTCATTTCTAGACATAAGGTGATTTTAGTGTAAAACTCTGGCTTGAAAGGTGGGGCTTGATATGTCTTCATTAAAGGAATGCTAGGCCTTTAAATATACTTTGATGTCGAGTTGTTCTGCAACAAAAATATGAAACGCATAAATCTGATGCACTTCTATATGCATGTTTGCTGTAGTCTTATAATCTGATACTTTAAGTGTAAATATTTTTTATTTCTTGACATCATACATATAATTAACCATGCACTGGTGTTTATTCATATTCAGCTTAAAGAGGAAGCAGCAGAGTTACCATTTGACTAAGAACATGAGCTCTCCCTTTCTGTCTGTGGAGCCGATGATGCATTCAGGCTCGAGGTAGGTGCTGAGGTTAACCGGGCCATCCGGCTGATCACCATCTGACCTGAGGACGCTGCTGCTGTTGCTGCTCTGCACGCTGGACTGCATGAGCAAAGACAAAAGTTGCAACAGAAGTTAAAATAAAAAAGTTTCACATCAACACCGAGGACAGTCTGGATATGGATTTTTGGAACCACTTCCAAACAAGGGCTCCTTAATAAAGAATAAATGCTTTATAAATGCATAACTCGTGTTTGTACACACTTTATAAAACATTGAATCATTTAACAAAACAGAAAATCCTGTTCATATGTTGAAGCGGGCTTACTATTTGGAAAGATCAAGTGCTGTAGGTTTATTCATTCAGGTAATTCCAGTTTATTACTAGTTTATCAGCTTCATTTCTTAACTAAATACTTTTATCTAACAAAAGACTCTGTAAACAGAAATGCTCATGCTCCATATTTAAAATGCAAACTATAATGAAATTAAGAAAACTAAATCACCTTTTCTTGAAAAATAGTGAGCCTGCTTTATTATGTGAAGTGTTTTATAAATCATTAGAAATGTTTATTAAGTGTTTACAAACTCAAATTATTTATAAAATATTATTGAATCCTTGAAAATGGGGCCCTTACAGGAAGTGGTATGGGCGTCTGTACTTAAAAACAAAAGAAAAAAAAAACAGGAATAGTAACTACTTTCACTTTCAGGAGCGTTACAAAACCAACCACCTTCATTTAGTTTCATGTTCAACTTTAAAACTGCAGCAGGAACAAACAAACAAACAAACAGCCCAATGATCCCAACTCAAATGCAGATTCTGAGTAATTCCAAGCAAAACATTAAAGTGTCTTATGTTTATCGAATTATAGTAAAGTGTGCTCTCTTTCCTTAAACAAAGTTAGATAGTTCCGCTCTCTGAATAACAAGGAAACAACATGCTCAGAAACTTCCACCTCTCCATTTCTCACACTCACAATTTCTGTCTCTTGCTCCGTCATTTCTTCTTTGGGAATGAACCGTGGCCCGTTTAGCTCTTCCTCATTCTCCTCTGAGAGAGGAGCGTCTTTCAGGAACTCCTCAATGAGCTCAGGACAGTCCAGGTTGTCCTCAGGCTCCCACGTGTTCTCTGCGCTGTGAGCACACAAGAGCGCTCGGTTAGGAGGAAACCTTCACTCTACACGAGGCGAGAGGCTGATTGTGCAACAACTTCACTCACTCTGTGAAGCCTTTCCACTTCAGGAAGTACTCCACTCTGCCGTTTGACACTCTGCGCCGGATTATCTTGTCCACCACAAACTCTTGGACCTCTGCAGTCTCCTCAGCCTTCCTCGGTTTAGCGGTCTGCTTCTTTCTCATTCTGCCGAGATGATCGGATAAAAAAATAACGTATAAGATTAGAAAAACTGTAGTTTCTGCAAAAATGCATTGAACGATGAGTGCTGAACGACTCTGCTTGAGAAGCTGAAACTAAGTCATAAAGTTAAAAGAAGCAAAACATTAGCAAAAACCTAAAATACATCAAACATCAGCTAGAAGCTAAAAGCGGCAAAAATCTGAAAAGTAGCTAAACACTACCTAAAAGTACAAAGTAGGCTACAAACTAAATATAGCAAAATTGTAACTAGAAGCTAAAAGTAGCAAAAGGCTTGCTAACACCTAAACGTTGCAAAATGTTACCTAAAAACAAGAAAAGGCAAAAACTAAAAGTAGCAAAAAACAAACTAAAAGTTGCAAAAGGGTAGCTAAATTCTAAATGACCAAGCTAGCTGAATGTATCTGAAGAACAGCTAAAAGCTAGGAGAAGCAAACTCTTTGCTAAAAGTAAAAAGTTGCAAAAGGACAGCTAAAAACCAAATATAGCTAAATTTTAGCTAGAAACTTAAATTTAGCAGGACTTGCTAAAAATAACAAAAGGTTACAGAAAAGTACCAAAAGCCTAGCTTAAAGTAATAAAAGCCTATCTAAAGACTAAATTTATTAAAGCCTAGCTAAAAGTTAAAATGTCAAAAGCCTAGCTAAAAATTTTACGTAACAAAAGTAGAAAAAAATGACAACAGCTAAATGTTTGCTAGAAGCTAAAAGTTGCAAATGACTAGCTAAAATATACATGTATCAAAAGATTAGCTAAAACTATCAAAAAGCTATATCTAAAACGTAGCTAAAAGCAGGTCTCGGGATTTGAAGTAAATAAAGGGATTTAAATGTATTTTATGGGGAAATGTTTGTAAGTTGCAAAAAAACAAGTCATAGCACATATCTCCTGAAGGAGCTGGAGGTTTTGAGACATGAAAAGCTAAATAGCACAAAGTGTTCAGAAGTGAATAATTACACAAGGTAAAAAATAAAAATGTGAATGCTGAGTGCGTTCACGCTGACTATTAGATCAAAGTGTCAGATTTCTGATGTTAAAAACAAACATTTAGATCCAGGAGCAGCTTTGATATTCCAACATGGCAGTGATGACTGTCCTTCACAGCGCTCCACCTGCCGTTTTGTTCTGGAGCATCACGCGACATGTTCACGAGGACCCTTCAGGTTACAGACAGCAGCAGACACACGGGTAAAATGGCGCCTCTGTGATGCGCCACATCAAGAGATGATGAGCCGTGTGAACGTACGCTGTCTCTCTCTCGATGTTTACTTTATCTCCGCGGACAGTGTGACTGCTGCGGTGCTGCTCTGCGTTTCCTGCCCGCGCGCCCCCCGCCGTCACTCGGCAGCCGCTCGGTGAGTTCACGCAGAGGTCGTCGGTCGGCGAGTTTGAAATGAACAGGACAACTTTTCATGAATGAGTTCACATTAAAGATGGCCGTTCACCGCTGATGCTCAGAGGAAGTGGTTGCCAAGGGAAAAAGGTCATGCCAGGAAAGCGAAAAGAGGAGGAGGCGGGCACGGGCACCTCAACCGACCAATCAGAGAGCAGTCCGCCCAGATCGCCCCTCCCATGCTCCCCACACTCCCTCACCCTGTCCCGGATGTCCGGCGCTGCCCTCACTACAGAGGATTGAGGGGTTGTGTTCTCCAGTCTGTGGGTTCTGCTCACCAGAACAATGCTTTTTTAGTTTTTTTTATTTTTTTTTTATTAAGCAGTTTGGCCGCACTGTCCTTACAGTCAAGATAAAAGGCTTTCAAGTAAACAAATAAAGAAATGCATAACATCTGTTTTTAAATGTACAAAATTAAAGGGAACACTAAAATAATACATCCTAGACCTCAATTAATTAAATATTCTCATTGACAAATTTTATTATTAGCACAGTGGAATTCAATGAGAAGAAAGTAATACAAAAAGTATCAACATAAATCAAAATTATTAGGAGATCTGGATTTGGATTTATACCCAATATGAAAGTGGAAAATAACAACAGGCTGATTCAATGTCAGTGAATATTCCTCAAGGCAAGTCTAAATGAGGCTCAGTAGTGTAAGTGTGTGTGTGACCTCCACGTGTCTGTATAACCTCCCAACAACACCTGGGCATGTATCTGATGAGACGGTGGGTGTTCTCTTGAGGGATCTCTTCCCAGACCTGGATTAGAGCATCGTTTAGCTCCTGAAAAGTCTGTGGTGCAACGTGACCTTGGTGGTTTGACTGAAACATGATGTCCCAGATGTGCTCAATTGGATTCAGGTCTGGGGAATGGGCAGTCCATAACATCAATGCCCTCATCATGCAGGAACTGCTGACACACTTCAGCCACATGAGGCCTAGCATTGTCATGCATAAGAAGGAACCCAGGGCCCACTGCACCAACATATGGCCTCACAATGGGTCTGAGGATCTCATCCCGGTACCTTATGGTATTCTGGGCACCTCTGGCTAGCACATGGAGGGCTGTGCGGCCATCCAAAGAAATGCCTCCCCACACCATGACTGACCCACCACCAAACCGGTCATGCTGGAGGATGTTGCAGGCAGCATAACATTCTCTACGGTGTCTCCAGACTCTGTCACGTCTGTCACATGTGCTCAGTGTGAACCTGTTTTCATCCGTGAAGCGCACAGGACGCCAATGGCAAATCTGTCAATTTTGGTGTTCTCTAGCAAACGCCAGTCATCCTGCACGGTGTCGGGCTGTAAGCGCAGGCCCTATATGTGGACGTTGGGCCTTCCTAGCACCCTCATGGAGTCTGTTTCTGACAGTTTTAGTGGAAACATGCACATTAGTGGCCTGCTGGAATTCATTTTGTAGGACCCTGGCAGTGGACCTCCTGTTCCTCCTTGCACAAAGGACGAGGTAGCAGTCCTGCTGCTGGGTTGTAGCCCTCCTACGGCCCCCTCCATGTCTCCTGGTGTACTGGCTTGTCTCCTGGTACCTATTCCATGCTCTGGACACTGTGCTGAGGGACACAGCAAATCTTCTTGCCACCGCTTGCATTGATGTTCCATCTTGGATTAGCTGCACTACTTGAGCAACTTCAGTGGGCTGTAAAAAACAACTGATGATGCCTCTATGTGTGACAGCACTGACAAAATGAAAAAGTGACTAAAATTTCAACCAGAAAGGACGAGAACAGAGAAATGACCTGTGGTCACCACCTGCAGAATCACTCTATTGTAGGGGTTGTCTTGCTACTTGCCTCTCATTCCACCTGTTGTGTGTTCCATTTGCACAGCAGCAGCTGAAACTGATTCACAACAAGGGTTGTAACTGATGACATTGATTGCACAAAGGTGTGATTGATTTGGAGTTACATTGTTTTGTTTAGGTGTTCCCTTTAGTATTTTGAGCAGTGTATTATGCTACTGCATTTTTACAATGAAATAAATCTAGATAAACACAAATGTCACTTTATTAAACATTGTATTTATTTTAAAGGAGCTTAATGAGATTTTATTTAACAAGTTCAACATATTTATTACTATATGTTTGTGTGTGTGTGTTTACATAATACCTGTGTACATAATTTTGTTCCGCCACATGTACCACATGTGGCGCGAACGACAATAAAGAATATCTGAATTTGAATCTATCTATCTATCTATCTATCTATCTATCTATCTATCTATCTATC